TTTGAGTCACGCTTCTCCTTTCCCTCTTTCTCTCAATCATTTTTCACTGCACTTTGTTTTTTCTTTTCTTTGTTTTTTTATAACTTTTTTTTTCACCGATAAATATTTTTGGGTTAAGCTTCTCCTCTTTCGCTCTTTATCTCATTATTTATTCATTGCACTTTGTTTTCTTTTTGTCTTTTTTATAATCTTTTTTCCCCTTTTCTTTGAAGTGCCTTTGCTACTGTTACATTCAAATATCCTTAACAAAAGGTTTTAAATTTTTTTGAAGGAATCCAATTCACCCTTTTTGAGACCAATCATTCCTCATTAAAAAAAAAAGTTGTTAAAAGTTTAAATTTGAGTATTGAATAAATTTAAAAATAAATAAATAAATATTGGAAAAAAAACAAAATAGAATAATAAAAAAAGGATAAAAATACCAATGAAGAACTTTTCCACAAGGGCATGTTGGAAATTGTGACCTAAGCCAATCATTGCACTATGCACATTGTTATTTAATAAATTTGTCTTTTACTATCATAACAATTGCATGTTTAATATGATAATTATATCTTTGAACAAGCTATAGTGATTGTCCTAAATATCCCTGGTCGATCATCTATAAGGATCATAGATAAAACAAGACTAATATGACTTTGATTAATTATAGAGATATAAATTAAAGTCATAGGCACTTGAAAGAGTACAAGGTGCTGAACTGACTCACTATGAGAAAGCTACATAATACAAGTCATAAGCTTATATCATATATAACTATATCACTAAGCCCTTTGACTTGAGATCATAATAGATTCTTACATGATGACCATTGAACTTTGACTTAGTCAAAAGTCATCTTTAATCGAGTGATCATGAAGGTTATGATTGAGTTCAGTATTATTCATGTAGAAAAATATGAGTGGTTAAGATGAAATTTATCCCTCACATACTGGACCCCTTGATGAGTAAGACTGAGAAAATGTATAGCCATACTGTAATGAAAAGGGTTTTTCCATTGCTACTGGCAATCCACTCAGAGATTGAGAAAGTAACGATTAGGTAAAGGAAATGACAATTTCATGTCTCATATCTAACCGAAATATTGCGTGACAAAAGGGATGTGATACGGTTGCACGATAGGTTACATTGGATCATCAATCTCCATATGAATTGAATAATTGTAATGTCTTGTTAGAGGCTATTATGACTTGTGGGCTAATAGTGTAATTAGTCCTACTTCCAATTTCATATGGGCCTACAAGGTTGCACACAAGAACAGCCTAACTTGAGTTATAATGTTCAAGTTTATTGAATCTGAAATATGTCTAGATTCAATGAATGTAATATAGGGTGAATGAATTATATATATATATATATATTTTGAATATTCATTTGATAAATATTTATATATATATGAAATATAAAATATAATTATATAATATATATATATATTCATATGTGTGTGTGTGTATCAGATATATATATATATATATATATGATAGATGTATATGATATATAAAATTAAATATATATAATATAATATAATATATGTATATTTTTGAAATATATATGTGTGTGTATATATATATATTCATGTATATATATAATATAATATGTATATGTGATATATATTATATTATATTATATATATATATAATGTTATGTTATGTTAGTTTTACATTTAATTTTATGTGATAGATTAAATTTAATAACTAACATGATATGGGAGAACATCATGTTAGTTTTATAATTTAAATTTATAAGATAAATTTAAATTAAATATGATATCATAATTAAATTTATGAGATAAATTTAATTAAATTTTGGTGGGCTTTTAAGTAGAAGACAAAAACCTTATCCATATACTATATATATAAATAGAGACGTCCTTTATGAAGAAAAAAAAGTTAGAAAAGTTCTAACAGTAGAAATACTTTGAAAGTCACAAAACACCTTATAAAAAGAAAAACTAATGTTTAAAGAAGAACATACATTGGGAGCGCTAGTACGTTGTTCGAGTTAGAAGCTATTCATGTGGATACTAGTAGAGTGAGTAGATTTATATTATCAACTCCTGAGATCCAAACTCTTGAAAAGAACGTGCGTTAAGTTTAAGAATTAAAAAGTAATTTTTTTTTCATCTTGATTTAAACAAATTCGTTCAGTCCATATCAAGATAAGAATTTTAAAATTTTAATCTTTCACTATGCCTCCTTATCCTCTAGGGCACCTGGTGTCTTTAAATGAAGGAGTGATGTTCTAGATGTTTGCCACGTTGTCCACTAGGACCAGATCGGAATTGAAGGAGAAAGGTGCATATGAGCCTTCAAAATTTCAGATTTTGAAAGAAAAGAATGGGTACGAGCCTTTAATTAAGAATAAGATCTTAATTAAATTTGTTTTATCATATTATATACTCCTCAAGTTTTATTTATAAATTCCTATTTGCTGGTGTTTAATATATACAAAACTCTTTACAAAATTTTAAAAGACTTCCATGACTAATCTCCAAAAATATCTTTATCTCCTAAATAGGTTAATCAATTACAAGGTGATCTTGCAAAGTTGTAAAAGTTATTTTTTTTTTAATAACCCAAACAAAACAAAACACATTACACACCAAATTAAACTAGAAGCAAAAGCTCATCTCGAAACATTAGAGATACTGCAATTGTCATTAAGAGGTGACTCTAATATATATATATATATATATATAGAACGCAATTATCAGTTTTGATTAATAATTCCCTTTGTCAACACAATCAGCATAGCGATTGCCCCCTAAGAACATGCTTGACCAAGACCTTAACATCACCATCATAAGCTCCACACCATGCATCAGTTGCCAAAAACTCAGTTGGACCTGAATCCAAAGGATCCTGCAAATATTCACAGATACTAATAGAATCACTTTCCCACCACAAGCTTCTTAATCTTGAGCTGTTTTGCTACTCTAAGTACATGATATACACTGCACAGTTCAGCTTCTATAGAAGCGCACCTTCCCCAAGTCACATATGAAGCTTGCCAACCATTCACCTTCAGCATTACGGATCAAGCCTCCACAACCAACCTGTTCAAGTTGACTTGTCACAGATCTGTCAATGTTCAACTTACCCACTTAGCCATTCCTCGACATGATAATGTACCACTAGCTTCACTTATAGTAAAGCTTTTATGGATAGTGATAGAAAAATGAATGACACGCTAGACTAGCTCAACCGTGTTGGGACCTATATTATTGAAAATGCAATCATTGCGATGCTTCCAATGGTTACCAAATGGTAATTGCCAAAAGAGTGTCCCACAAGAAGAGATCATGCTGGGTTTGGTTCTTAAGGTTCCACCAAAATCACTCTCATTTATTCATTTACCAGAAGCCACTAAAAAGTATTCCTTCCATTTTTTAAAAAAAAATATATATATATATATATATAAGACATTTCTAATCAAATTATATCACCAATAAATTAGTTAATTGTCTTTAAATTGATACCATAGTTTTATATTTACTTTTAGTTAATACTATGTTTCATTTAGAGGAGAGTTGAGTGATTTATTTATTAAATATTTAAAAAATTATTAATTATACATTAAAAAACTAAAAATATTTTTATATTTTTTAAATATCTAACCTCAGAAAAATTGTAGTTAATAAATTAAAGAATTATTAAAAGGACAAGAGGTAGTTTATTTTATTATGAGTTTGTTTATTTTATTGCAAAAAGTGAATGAAAAGTGAGCATAATTTATACATTGATATATTTAAATCTCATAAATAATATATGGTTGATCTCAAATAAGTATTTGTGTGTGTAGCACTAACTCATGCTCCCTCTATTAAAAAATATAAGACATTTTTAATCTTTTAAGTATAATCATTACCTTTTTTTTTTTAAAGTGCCTCTATTAATGAATGATTTTATATTTATTGTAGGGTATTTAATAAAAAAAATATGAAAAAATAAGGTTAGTCTGAAAGTAGATAACTATTTTATTGAGGGATGAGATTCAATTAAAAATATCTTATATTTTTAAACGGAGTAAGTAACTTATAAATAGTTAATTCACCTTATCAAGTTTATGTAAAGCTTTTTTTTTTTTTTGGAAGTGAAACATTTGATTCACAAAACATAGTTTTTTATTACCAAAATCTTATTACAATTTTTTTTAATCTTATACTTACAACCCGCAGTTAATTATCTGAGTGTAATAAAATTTCTTCAAGTAAGAAAAAAATATACTAACAAATATATTATATATGCATGAATATCCGAGTATATCCGAATAGTTACGTTGGAATGAAATGATTAAACCTTACTGACGTGGATCCATGCTGTCTGGCCAACCTTCATTCAAATTATAATACTGCTCTGATCTGCATCAGCCAATAGGAGGCTGCCAGTTAGGCATCTAGAATTCAATGCAATTTTGTATCATGTGCGCGGCGACCGGAAAACTTAAAATTTCATACTAATCCTGATCTAAAATAAAAGTTAAATAATTAACTTAGAGACGTTATGAAAATTAGTTAAGCTAGTTATTTATGAAAAAAATGTGTATTAATTTTGTAAGATATCCCTTTAGTTATTTGCAATGAAATTTCTCCTTTGATGAAAATCATCCTTTAATATATGTCATCTCAAAAGGAATAGTTTAGGTTAAAAAATTTAGGATCGAAAGGAGCACTCATAATTCAGCTTTTTCTAATTTTTTGTCATTTAGATTTATTTATGAATTTTAAAATTATAACATTGCAAATAATATTTTAAATTTAGAAGCAGAGGAGAGGGACAGAAAACTATCAAAAGCACTCGAGGATAACTTAGACAATAAAAAATGAAGTGTATTATATTAGTGACCAGTGTTCCTATTTTCCCATGCATTATATATATTATTTAATTTAATTAATAATTAAATAAAAGAAAAAGGGCATGAGGGAACTTATAGTATAGAAATATAATCCAAGTTGGCCAACAACCCAAATATCGGTATATAAAAGCCATTTAACTCACATGGTCATACCGAGCCATATATTTTCTTCTGAGAGCTAAAACAACCAAAAATACCTAAATCTTAAAACCCAAATATACAGAAGTCTATCTCTTCCATGGGCAGATCAAGAGTGACCAGGTTTCTGCCGAGCAATCACCAGGAAAGCGGCGGAGGTGGAGGCTGCTCCGGAAGCGCGAGTCTTGATGATGTGGAGTTTGAGTTTCTCGGGGATGGCGGAGATTCATTGGCTGCAGCTGCAAGCAGAGATGAAAGATGGGACTCAAATGAAATGGAGTTAGATGAAGATGATGATGATGACGTGGACAAAAAAGGATTTGAGCACAACAAGAGCTTCTGGGATGACCAACACCAACTTTTGCAGGTATAAAATATATATATATATATATATATATTGATGTTTTGTGATTGTTGTTCTTGAAACTAGATTCAAGGTTTATATTAGGAGGCTGTTAAATTTGTTTTCTTAGGATTCTTTGAAATTAGATTATTAAATTACATTTGTAATATTATTTAAAAATATATCATATAAATATACCATTTATTATTTTTGTCTGGTTTTAATCAGTAGTTTTAACTTTCAAAACTAATGTTCCAAATTGTATAAATTCTGATTTGTCATTCACTCATCTTGGCCTGGCCTATCTCCAATTCTAATTACTTACAATGGATTTTTTTTAAAGAAAAAAAATCAACTGTTGACCAATTTTATAAGCGAGTTGTTACGATATATTATTTATTGATATTTGTTTTATTGAATTTTAAAGAATATTTTGTATTCATCATTCCTTAATTATTATTAGGATAGTTTTTTTTTTGTATATATATATTGTAAGCTTTTCATATCAATAGAGCATGACATTTCTTCAAATCTCATTTATTTTTCTTTTGACCTCTTTCATGGTATTAGAGCTTGGTTAATCAAGTGTTTATACTTTGTCTAAGCTGAAATTTTTTTTCGTATAACCAAGCTCCAGGCCTCCCTCCCTCCCTCTTATTGGTTCAACACTTCTTCAAATCTCATTTCTTTTTCTTCGGACTGATTTTAACCTGTTTAAAATTTTGAAAAGTTTTTTCCCAATTAAGAAAGGTTTAATACTATGATTCTCTGATCTAATTAACAATCTAGCTAATTTGAACTTAATTAATTTGAGGAAGTGATCGAATATGTTGCAGGCTACACTGTGTAGAAGTAGTAGTGTGGAATCAAGAATAAGAAACGCTACGAAAGAAGCACTTAAGGAGATACAAAGCTTGGAGCCTCCTTGTGGCTGCGAAGACCATCACAAAGCAGCAAACGTCTTCTCCATCTGCAAGAAGTGCTCATTGAGACGACTTTCAAGTCGTCTTCACAGTTATGGCTTTAACACTGCCATTTGCAAAACAAAATGGAGAACTTCGCCACCAGATATTCCTTCAGGTGAATTTAATTTATTAATTAATTATTATTGCATTTAAATTATTAGTAACATGCCTATTATAAAAAAAAATATATTGGCACGACAATAAGAAAACGTGACTCCGTGTGAGATTCATATGTGCTTGTTTTACTTCATAATATGATAGATGGTATGATAATTATCTTATAATATAGGTTTACAATTTAATTGAAAATTAGATGTTGTTTCAATAATTATATAATTATAATGTCTTAATTGAATAATAGCTAGATATCATAAATTTAAGGTATATTCTTATTACCAGGAAAACCTTAAAAGCATAAAATCTCAACCATGGAAGAAGTCAAGGTTGAACCACAAAATAAAATATAGGATTAAACACTAATAATGGTGGTTAAGTGAAAGAGATCGACTCGATTCTCTTTAAGTTTGGTGGAGTATTTATAGATAGAAAATATTATTTTTTTTATAGTGGAAAAAGTTACCATACAGTGTTAGATTTGATAATGCTTGAATTTAATTAATATTATATTAAATATTAGATAATTATATTAAAAATAAAAATAGAACTCAATCATAATAATGGAAAAAAAAAATCAATTGTATCAGGCCTTCCGCCCATCTCTCCATTATATATATATGGCTATATGCAAATATTTTAATCGAATAAATCTTTTCGGTGGGCCGGAGAGAAGATTGAACCATATAATTATCTACGCTATCCCATCGATATGTTTAAATCCATTTGTCCCTTTAAAAGCATTATATCGATGTCACTTTATTACTTGAGAGTTTGCTAAGGACATGGACATTACATGGCTAGGCATTAATGCAAAGCTGGTGTTAGGTGAACTTTTGAAAATGAAAAAAAAAAAAAAAACGTTTTAAAATTACTTTGAATAATATACTGTTATGCGTAACTCAATTTTTCAACTAGTGAATTTTTCTTTTTCATATTCATTCATTTTATTAGATGCGTGTGATAAATAATAAAAAACTTGTTTATAGCATATCTTGAAAAGATCTTATAACAGAAACTTCGAAAGCTTCATCTTAACGTTAATTTACCCGAGAAAGTTACACTTTTGTAATCTTAGTAATAACTTCTTCAAAATCAATATCAGTATAAAACATAAAATCTATAATAATATGTACACTATTTACAAGTTGGTTCATTCCCTTTTTAATTCCTTACAATGCATGAGGGACTACCTAATTTTGTAGTAAGTATTGTTGAACATTTGATAATGATAACTTTTGACTTTTAAGAATGATTATATCCTTAATTGTGAGTTATCTTATATAATATAATTAAATACCATTATCACAGGAAATTTTTATAAACCTTTACGCAGGGGAGCACAATTTCATGGATGTGGTAGACAGCACAAGCTCAAGGAAAGGAGAGCCGATTAGGGTGATTGTTGAACTGAATTTTCGACCCGAGTTTGAGATGGCAAAGGCGAGTCAAGAGTATAACCGGCTTGTCCGGCAGCTGCCGGAGGTGTTTGTGGGAAAAGTAGAAAGATTAAGAACCCTAATAAAGATAATGTGCATGGCAGCTAAAAGGTGCATGAAGGAAAATAAAATGCATATGGGACCATGGAGGAAGCAAAGGTACATGCAATCAAAGTGGTTAGGCCCATGTGAAAGGAACACTTCAACAGCTTCGTTCTCAATGTTCTATTCTGATAATGAGAGGATGATGCCAAAGACAAAAGTGAAGCCAATGGCATCCATGTTAACCATAGATTTGCTAGAGAAACTTCCCAATTTGCATTGCACAATGGTTGAAGTTTCTTAGTAGTAAATATGAACTTTGTTTAATTAGAAACGATTTAGTGAGCTACTTGTGAGAACATATTCATATATAGGTGTTTTTTCAAGTCACAAAATCCTTTTTTCTTTTTCTTTCGCTTCGATATCTTAGGTTTTTGATCCAAACTAATCCATTATGGCTTGAACTTGAGACCTCTATTTAAGAGGAATTAATCTCCTATCCAGTTGATCCAAGCATCTAGTAGTTATAAAACCCATCATATAACTGAAAAATCTAAAATCTATCTCACTGAAATATTTTGTAAAAAAAAAATATTACTAGTAAAAATCAGTGTTGTTAGAATTGTACCCTATTGGCTAATTTAGAACATGAATTGGTGAACCGAATCCTAATCTAGTTAAATATTCATAAAAAAATAATAAAATCAATTGAATATTGATTAGTACCAATTAAAATTGGTAAAAATTAGTTAAAAGCAAATAAAACCAAATTTTCCTTTTAATAAAATATTTTGCACGTAGTATATAAAACAAAATTTAATTATTACTGATTTAACTATGTTATGTTTAAAATTAAAGGGAGAATGGCATTTAAGACCCTGTCAAAGGAATTTATCATAATAAAGGCTTATCAATTTTGCATCGGATATTATATTGTAAAAAATATATATATGTTATTGTTAAAAGTTGAACCTTAACTTGTATTTTTAGCTTGGGTTTTTTCAAAATTTAACAATTTAAGATTTAGCTTTTAGTAACAATATATACATGTTTTTATAAGATAATATCTAATGCAAAATTGATAAGCTTTTATTGCAATAAATTATTTTGGCAGGGCCTTAAATGTTATTCTCCCAAAATTAAATAGTAAATAGATTTCTGAACTAATGACTCTTCTAGAACAATTAGTACAACATAATAATATTAAGATTAAAAAGCATAAAATCTTTCTAAATTTAGAGACAGTTGCACATGACTTCCTCACCTTTAAATGCTTAAAATTATCCCCTTAACCTTTATTTTTTTTTCTAAGCCCCCTACATGTTATTTATTAATTAATATTTGAGGCAAACTATATTAATAACATAACAAAGTTAAGAGTAAAATACTCTAACCTCCTCTCTATTTTATCTTAATTATATATGCCTCTCTTCTATTTTTAAAACTTATACGAACCTCTCCTAGTATGAATCGTTATAAAAACCAAACAATCCCTCTATTTTTAAATTTTTATTTTTATCCACCCAACCAGTAGTTGACCATTAAGCTATATGTGTTGGACTAAAATAGCCCTCTTTAAATATAAATATTGTCTAAAAATCAATTATATTATCCAGAAAAATTAATGCATATTTTTCTTTTTAATTTTTTTTGTTTTGTAACCATATTTATTAAAAGAAGAATAAAAAAATTAATGGACTAAGAATTTTTGGCTAGATATAAAATAATTATTTGATATAATAATTGCTTATATAAGTTATATTTATTTTTTTAAAATTTTATTAATTTTAACACAAATTTTAAATTTATTTATTTAAATATCTATATACTTAATTCTTAAAAGTTTTTAAAATTAGGAGGGAGAGTAGACAATTAGATTTAAGGGAAAATTAAAAATTTTAAAACGTTTAACATAATTACAAATATAAAATTATTTTTTTATATTTTTAAACGAAATATTCCTAACTGTGTTGATAATTGAACTAAAGTATGTCCTTTAAAAATATAGGGGGGTTGTTTTAATTTTAGCAAAGCGGAAGGGAGGTTACTGTATATTTTATTCTAGAGTTAATTAATTGCAGAGGTTTTGAAAATAAAAAATAAAAGTTAAGAGGTTAATTTTAAATATTTAAAAATGAGGGGGTTAGGTCATATACAACTGCTTTAAAATTTAAGGGAGTTTTATGTATTTTAACATTATATATTTAAAAACCTGAAAGTTTTTTTTAAGAATTTTTTTTTAAATTTTGAGGGGAACAATTACTCTAGAATACCATTGGCAAGCTGCTACGAACTTCGCACTAGGCACAATTTGCCACTGAATGCCAAAATACATTGCGTTTGCAATTTGGTACATAATTGACTTCTTTATTGTCATGAGCTTGTGGACTTTTTCTCATGTGTATCCGTTGAAAGGGCCTTTTTGAGTTATCAACAGGGCAAAACGCCCAAAATCTCCATCAGAACAGTCGGCATGAAACGCCCAAAAAAAAAAAAAACCCAATGTATAACATCATTTATTATAAACGGTTAAAAGAAAAACCATTGTATATGAGAAAAATAATAATAAAATTCCTTTAAAATATATAAATAATAAGTTGATCCCTCCAAATATCATAATTTTCCTGAAGTTCTTAGGAACTTTCTATCATTAATGAATTTATATAAATTATCAAATTATCTTTATTGAAATAAATGATTCACAACTTTTCTTTTCATATTTTCAACTTTCATACTTAAATTCATAAAAATGCAACAACAAATTATAACTTCACATGTTAAATTCTTTATTTGCTATTACATTGTTGTAAATATAAAAAGGAAAGTTGTGAATCATTTATTTTCAACAAAGGACAATTTAGTAATTTATATAAATTTATTAATAATAGAAAATTTTCAAGAGACTTTAGAAAAATTATGATATTTTAAAAAATTAAATTATCATTTTTATATTTCAAAGGAAAATTGTCATTTTCTGTTATATCTATATAGGCGGGATCTCAAAAATAAAATACTAAATGGTTATGAAAGGAATCATTTAATATTTAAAATTCAAATAATATTAAACAGTTTTTAAATCTAGAACCATTGAGTAAAGTATTTAAATACTCAACAATTTCTTAATAAAAACCGTTTTATACTATATATTAAACGGCTATTTCTCAACAATCTTTTAATATACAGATTTAAATTGGTCATTCAAATTCACAAAAATTTACCTTTGAACTCTCAAAAACTGCATTTTCTTTCTGAAAACCCAAATACCTAGTGTTTGAAACTCCCTTCCCAAGCTCTGACAAGCTATTTTCGGCTAAATCCAACCTTCTTCAACCATTGAAAAGCCATGATTTGGTTGTCATTGTTGTTTTCTCCTCGCTGTCATGGGTTTCGCTTCATGGGTGTGCTCACGGCGTCCCCTCTTCCTCTTCCTAGTTTCATCTTCTTCCTTTACCATTCCATTCTATTCGTGGGTAATCTCATTGCCTTGGTTCCTCTTCTCCTACCCATTCTCATTGTGGGTTCCTCTTCCCATAGCACAAAAAGGGTTATTTAATAAAAAAGTGTATGTAAAAGAATTTGAAATGTTTATTTGAGTTTAGATTGAATGAGTTTTGATTATTCAAATTAGTAAGACGGTTTTTTCTCTGATTTCACAAACAATGTACTTAAAGTTTGGTTGAATGGAAATGCTCTATCTGATTTTGTTTTTTCTTTTTATGAAATTTCTCTAGTGAAATTGTTAAATGTGATTTATTGAATTAGTTTAAGTAATTTTTATTTTTGAAATTGTTGTTATTTTAATGTTTAATTTGTTAAAAGAAGACAATAAGCTTAAGAAATACTCAATTTTATACTATTATGCTATCAATTTTTTTTAAAAAAATTAGTTTTGCTCTTAAATAGAACAAATATGAGCATTGTTGAATTTATTTGAAGTAGTTAAATATTTTGTTAGATTGAAATAGTGTTAAGAGAGGCCATAAGGCTTGGAGAAATATCAATTTGAAACTGTTATGTTGCTGAATTTTTTTCTCTAATTTTAATTTTACCCTTTCATAAAACAAATATGAGCATTATTGATGTTGCTTAAAGTAGTCTAATAAGTTGTTAGATTAAAATAGTACAAAGAGAGGATGTGGGACTCACTTCCAACCTTCAATTGGCTTATAGCCAAAATTCAACTTATGGTTCACTAAATGCTTTTTTAGATTGGTTAGGCCACAATTTAACTACAAAGAACTATTGAACTTTAAACTAACACTAATGATTGGTTCCATTTTAAAAGCCTTCTTAAATAGCCGTTCCTCTTGTGAAAATTACCCTTTTTTTCACTTAAACAAATAAGTGCTTAAATGTTCCGTGTTTACTTGTTTGGGTCTTTTTGTTAAAGTTCTAGATAATGTTTTCAGGATTAAATTGAATATTAAATAAAAAAAATCAAAAAGGCATGCAATTTATGGTTCACATGATTCAATTTAATTAGATCAATAGTCAAACTTATAACATAATAATTAAATTTAAAAATTTTTATATATATAATAATCTAAATATAAGAAATAAATATGAAATTGATACTTAATTTTAAAAATAAAAATAAATATTATAAGTTTATTATGACTTAAAAAGTCACATGATACAATATAACATTAAATAATTAAAAAATTGATCATTTTTTAAAAAAATATTTGATAAAAAATAAAAAATAAAAAAGGTATTTTTTGAGTTGTTCAGTTTTTAAAAAATGTATTTAGATTCTGATTCGACTGTTGATCCAAAGCAAGCTAATTTAACCCAACTCTCCAATTAATTTTTTTAAATTGATTGAGTCATTAACCTAATCAATCAACGATCCAACTATCTAGTTCAATCCATTTTTTCTAATCAATGGTTCCAAGTGTGGATTGGCATTGGCAATTGATTGGAAATTGGGCTCTTTTTGTAGTCTCAAAAATTAATTTGACTAATTTCCACAAGGTAATTATTGTTTTCTTTCTTTTTTTTTGGGGTTCAAGTTTCTCGGGCTGGGCCTTGGTCTAAAATCTCAGATATTATTCTTGATTCTTGAGCTTTTGGAATTCCTAGGCGAAAAATAAAAATAATCAAATTCTGCCATATTTTTTTATTAATCCCTCTCTAATCGTGGTTTAGACCTTCAATTATTGAATTCTTTCATGTTTGAAATTTAACGTGTAAGATATGAGGACGCTATAAATATGATGACAAAATTATTGGAAGATAAAATTGAGAGAAGCATACGCTTCCAAGGAATAAATTGAAAATTTCTCAATATCCTAGGGAAAATAGGTATACTTTACTGTTATTTTGTTATTTCGCCCAACAAAAAATGAGATTCCATTAAACTAAAACAAGTCTGTCGCAAACAGATTCTGTGCAG